TGGTAGGTTGGTCAGAATGGGACTCTAGCTGCCAACAAACCTGGATGGTGGAGTGAAATGTCTATTTTCTTTTTTATTATTTTAATTAATTAATTTGGCTGCATTGGGTCTTAGTTGTGGCACACGGGGTCTTTCATTGCGGTGCTTGGGCTCTTTGTTGCAGAGCATGGGCTTCTCTCTAGTTGTGGCACAGGCTCCAGAGCACGCTGGCTCAGTAGTTGCAGCACGTGGGCTCTCTAGTTATGGCGTACAGGCTCTAGAGCGCGCCCCCTGCATTGGAAGGCAGATTCTTAACCACTGGACCGCCAGGGAGGTACCTGAAATGTCTATTTTCTTAAGTGCACTCAATAATTCAAAAAATATTTGCTGTCTGTAACGTATGAGGCACTAAAGGATTTATTGCAGTATTTAAGATCTAACAAAAATGTAAAGAAATAAAGCAGAATAAAAGCATTTTCTATACAGATGAAATCCTCTGTACCTTTCTCCCCACAATGTTCATTTCCCCACAGAAATCATAATTGTTTTCCTAAAATTGATGTTTCAGAAAAGTGGTGTTTCCAAAAATTGGTGTTTTAAGCTTTGGGGTTGGAACAAGACAGGTGTTTTAAAGTGGGAAACAAAATTCAAAGCTGCTTTCTAACAATAACTTAATAGGTTAAGGCACTAATTTTCTATTTTAAAAATCTTTTCTAAACAAACAAGGAGAACATTTGTGCTGAACAATCAGGTATAATCAGGTGTTTATTATTAGTTGATAGTGATAAACAGGTTCTAAGTAGAAGTTCTCCCATGTTTGTTTGTTTATTTTTAGTATGTTTTAATTGTGGTAAAATATTTATAACATAAAATTTACCATTTTAACTATTTTTAAGTACATGTTTCAGTGGCAATAATTTCATTCACCATGTTATGTTGTGTCCAGTCATCACCACTATCTATTTCCAAAGTTTTTCATCACTCCAAATAACATAAGGTTATTTTTCAGTCATAAAAATCCTGTTGATGGAGTTGGGTGACTCTCCATGACAGCTCTTTTTGTTGGTTCAGCTTTACAGGCAGTGTCAATTTTCCCCCCTTTTTTCTTTTTTTCCTGCACTGAAGGCAAAATGTTTATTTTCAATTTGTTACTCATTCGTAAGACAATAGTGCACATTTTAGTGGGTCTTTTTCTTTTAATGAATTTTTTGTGTGTGTGGTATAGTTGATGTACATATATATGTGTTTCAGGTGTACGAAATAGTGATTCACAATTTTTAAAGGTTTTATTCCATTTATAGTTATTATAAAATATTGGCTGTATTCCCTGTATTGTACAATATATCCTTGTAGCTTATTTATTTTATACATAGTAGTTTTCATCTCTTAATCCTTTACCCCTGTCTTGCCCCTCCCCTCTTTCTCCTCCCTGCTGGTAACCACTAGTTTGTTCTCTATATCTGTGAGTCTGTTTCTTTTTTGTTGTATTCACTACGTATTTGTTTGTTTGTTTTAGATTCCACATATGATATCGTACCGTATTTGTCTTTCTCTGACTTATTTCACTTAGCATAATACCCTCCAAGTCCATCCATGTTGTTGCAGATGGCAAAATTTCATTCTTTTTTATGACCGAGTAGTATTCCGTTGTGTATATGTATGTGTACACACACGCACCGCACATCTTCTTTATGCATTCATCTGTTAATGGATACTAGGTTGCTTCCATATCTTGGCTATTGTAAATAATGCTGTGAACATTGGGGTACATGTATCTTTTTGAATTAGTGTTTTTGTTTGGCAGTGTCAAATCTTTGGCACTTACATGTCAGAAAGAGCATCTATAAATCAGTCGTGAAGTAATGGAAGTCATGCTAGGGAGAGGTCTTGTGCAATTAGGTGCATGGCCCAGAAGTGGTGTCTGTCACTTCTATCCATAACCTTTTGGCCAGAAGTAGTCACACAGCCCTATTCAGCTTCAAGAAGCATGAGGAAATGTCTCCGTGCCTTATGTCCCCAAAGAAAGGAGAACTACCTTTGTGAGAGCATCAGAAGTCTTTTCTACAAATATCTAGGCCTAGTATTCTCATGCTTTATGCTCTCAGATTCCCTTTTGAAGTTACTGCTTAGAATTATCTTCTCGTTATCCTACTTCCGTGTTACCTTAGTTCAGTGATGTCCTCTAGAAAGGAACATAGAAACATTATTAATATTGAAACATTCAATCGATATCAAAATGTAATGATTAGTTGGAGGTGAAATGGAAAAGATTGCATGTATATGGGAGTATTAGTATAAATTCATGATGTGTTTTACTTTCCTAGATCTGTCCACTGAAAAGTTTGAGAAACAGTCACTAATACCCAGGCAATAAGCACCACTAGTATCCTGATTGTGATCTCTAAATACAACTTCCCACTTGAAAGAACAAGGCTGTTTGGAAAAATGTCTGATTCTAGGTCTGGGTCGGGGAATTTATAAAATGAGCTTAGAACATCTTGTCACAAGTAAGGAAGATGTAAGACACTACTTAGAGTCATATAGAAGGGATTCAGGAGTCAATTCGAAGAGTCTCCCTCTACAAAGGGATGGGCAAAAATGGGGAAATTGATCATCACTAAGGATAATTGTAAGGAGATTGAAACATATCAAATATATAGATATATATTTATTTATTTATTTATTGCGGTACGCGGGCCTCTCACTGTTGTGGCCTCTCCCGTTGTGGAGCACAGGCTCCAGACGCGCAGGCTCAGCGGCCATGGCTCACGGGTCCAACCGCTCCACGGCACGTGGGAGCTTCTCTGACCAGGGCACGAACCCGTGTCTTCTACATTGGTAGGCGGACTCTCAACCAATGCGCCACCAGGGAAGCCCCTCTATCTTTAACTTTTGATTTTATTTTCTCTTTGTTACTGTACCACAGAGAAGATCTCTCTCCATACTCTTCCCTCTCCTTCGGCAGTAGACTGCTGTTATTTATTCCTCAGTGTTTGCTAGCACAGTGGCGGAGGTGGGTGAGGGGTACCAGGGGCGGGGGGACATTCTCTGTTGTCCTATTTCCGTCTCAGTTCTAGGGGGTCATTATGTCTCTGGATCTTGGAGGGCAAGACTTTCTCAGTGATTCTGCCTTTCCCCCAATGGTAGGGGACTTTTAAAGGTCTGGGGCTTTAAAAATCAGGGATAGAAGGGGTTTTCTGTTACCTTCCTCTCGTTATGCAGGAGCTAACTAAAAATAGTTATTCTATGAAGTATACTTCTTATGTTCTTTTTATGTTTTATATATTCTGATTTGAGGCCATCTCCCTATGCTAGTTTTTGCTCTCAGTGGCACTAAACACACAGTTTTTGGCCTCAGCTGTCAGAGTATTATTAAATATATTTATAAATATCATTTAATGAATATGTATTTTCATATGTTGACCATTTAAGTTTTATTCCTTGAATTATCTTTAAAAGTGTATTTCAATGACAAATTCTGCATGGCAGATACTAGGTGGGGTTTTTTTCCTTTTTCTTTTTTAAACAACACAGCACTTGCCGATGCCAAATGTGTGGAGTTTTTTCCCCACATCAATCAGTTCTCCAAATCTTTCAACACCAACTGGGTGTCCTACAATTCAATTCAGTTCTGATACTAACTATCCAGAGTTAGTGCAGACCCCACAGGTCTGCCCCCCACTTCAGAAGTTGCCAATCGCAGGTCCCCGACCTCCTGTACTTCTGACCAATCAGCTATAAGTCGAGGGTTCCCATGCTCCCCTTCTGGGATTCCGTAATTTGCTAGAATGGCCCACAGAACTCAGGAAGTCACTTTATTTAATATCACCAGTTTATTATAAAGGATATAACTCAGGAACAGCCAAATGCAAAAAGATGCATGGGATGGCGGGGGGCAGTTAGGAGGGCGATGGTGCACAGTATTTTCTTGTCCTTTCTGGATGTTCCAACCTTCTTGCACCTTGATGTATTCACCAATAAACCCGTAGTTTAGGGGTTCTTATAGAAGTTCCATTACATAGGCATGAATGATTAAGTCACTTGCCATTGGTGATTAGCTCAGTCTTCAGCTCCTCTCCCTTTCCCTGACTTTGGGAAGTGGGGCTGAAAGTTCTAACCCTCTAATCACATCATTAGTTCCTCTGACTACCAGCTCCCATTCTGAGGCTTTGTAAGGACTCACCAAGAGTCACCTTATTAGCATAAATTCAGGTATGGTTTAAAGGGGTATTATCAATAACAAAAGATGCTCCTTTCACCTGTATCACTCTGGGAATTCCAAAGATTTTAGAAGCTCTTGTGTCAGGAACCTGGAGGAAGACCACATATATGTTTGTTGTATCACACTATCACACTGGGCACTCAACACAGAATTGTTGAATAAATGAATTTCTGTGATTGCTGTTACTGTCCCTTTCTTATGAATAGCTTTTCTTCTTTATTTCTGATTACCATAATGCTCAATTCTAAGAGTATAAAAATGTCTTTCTGTATTTTCTTCTTTTTTTTACTTAAAATTTGAATATACTTGACATATAACTTTGTATGAATTTAAGGTGTACAACATGTTAATTAGGTACATTTATATGTTGCAGTATAATTGCCACTGTATTTCTGAACATTCACTTAGAGAATGTTGATCTTTCAAATCAAAATTATGTATATATGTTTAACAGAGGTTGAAGGAAGTTGTCTAATTGCATGAAATCCTTATCACATTATTGGGACTATTGAAGGGGAGGAACTTACCTTTTTGGACCTTGATGAGGACTCCCAAGAGAAAGAAAATTCAGTGTGTGAGCCAGTGATATATGTACTTTAGGATAAGTACAGTATATTCTTGGCTGAGTGCCATAACAAGGTGTAAGGGAGGAAGAAGAGGGAGAGGAAACATCACTGCACTAAAATTTACCAGGACCTTGTTTGGAGATGGAGATGAGATTTGTTAAAGGTGATATCAGCCTCACATTCCTCGACAACTGAAATGTCTATAGTTGACTGTATCATTCATTTTCTCCTAGGTGATTTATTGTTCTTTTGGTGGAACATCCAAAGGACTGCACTTCAATAACTTAATAGTTGGACTTGTCCTTCTTACAAGAGGCAGAGATGAAGAGAAAGCAAAATGTGAGTACTTTTATTATCTCAAAATGTTAAAATACTACATCTGTGTACAGAATAATCTACCTCAAAATTTTGATGACAGTCAAAGGATTTGAAGTGATGTTTCTGCAAAGAAGATATACAAGTAGCCAGTAAGCACTTGAAAAAATGTTAAACATAAGAAGTTATTTGGGAAGTGTAAATTCAAATTACAATTAGATACCACGTAAGTGTAAGATAGACAATGAAGCCACTTTGGAAAACTGGCAGTTTCTCAAACTGTTAATCCCTGAGTTTTCATATGATCCCACAATTTCATTCCTAGGTATATACCCAAGAAAACTGAAAACATATATTCATTAAAAAAAAAAATGTTCCTAACAGCACTGTTCATAATGGTTACAAAATGGTAACAACCCTAATGCCCATCAACTGATGCATTCAGCATAAACAAAACGTGATATAACCAACAATAGAATATTACTCAACAATAAGAAGGAATAAAGTACTGTGTAAGAGCGGAAAAAATTTCCCTAATTAAGTTGATATAAGACAGATTAACAGGAGAAAACCAAACAAATTTTGTATGTACATACAGGAGCCCCATAAAAATATGAGACCCAAAGGGCAGCCAGGTAATTGAGGCTTATATAACATTCTGAGCTAAGGAAAGGGATAGGGATCTGAGGGTACAAGAGGAAGGGAGTCCATTCACAGGAAGGCAGAGATGTTTGGAGAACGAAGGTTGCCCTGTTATACTAATTTCTTAGGTAAAAAAGTATCTCTGATAATGACTCTCTTTCTGGTATGGGCCTTTTTTCCAATGTAAATTTAGGCTGTTGATGGGGAGGTAATGAGCATTTCTGAATCTGCTGGGTTTTGATCACCTTTAAGCTCAAAATAATTGTCAAGCCAAAGTGACGTATTTGGGGACAACAAATTCTGCTCTCCTCCAACAGATACATGCTACAACATAGATGAACCTGAAAGCGTTATGCTAAGTGATAAATGCCAGTCAAAATAGACCACACATTATGTGGTTCCAATCATATGACATGTCCAGATTAGGCAAATTTATAGAGACAGAATATAGATTAGTGGTTGCCAGAGGCTAGGGGGAAAGGGAAATGGAGAGCTTACTGCCAATGAGTATGGGGTTTCTTTTGTGTGAAAATGTTCTGTAATTAGATAGTGGTGATGATTGCACAGCTGTGTAAATATATTAAAAAACACTGAATTGCACACTTTAAAAGAGTGAGTTTTATGGAACGTGCCTTATATCTCAGTAAAGCTGTTATTTAAAAAATAAGTCTGAAGACATAGATTTAGCAATCTATTCTTGCCTTACTTCACAAATACAACCAGAAGTTCACTTGATAATACTTTATACAAATTCTTGGTAAAAGGTTTAATTATTTATAATGGTTTTACTTTTAACTTCAGAGATGAATTTTATTAGGTGAATTATGTAAGCCCAGAAGAGGATGGCACCTTTAAGTTCTGCTAAGCAGGGAAATTTTATATTACAATGAGACAGCATCATTTACCCTCTAAATGTGAAAGGGAAGACAACCTTAGTTGATCATTCATTGTCCATCTGCGTTTCCTAGGATATGAATTTATTTACTTAATTTTTAATTCATTCATTTGATTACTTATAATGTCCTATGTTTCCTCATTCTTTTCTTTGAGCTCCCCCAAGGCAAATCTGCTCTTAACAAGAATATTAGTAAACAATGTAAATTTTATTGAAAATTTTCCAGGGGAGATGAGAGGGAAATGTCAGATGGCAGTTAAAATTTAAGTGACAACATGGGAGGACTCAGCTAGAATTGCTCTATCCCTGACACTCTGACCCCAATGTCTGGCACATAGTAGGAATTCAGTAGTATAATTTGACTATTATCATAATTAATGATTCTCAGAGCAAAACATGGGAGAAAGACCAAGAGCAAAAGCTAGCTTGACCAATTACTATATGTATGACTCTGGGCCTCTTCCTTGATCTTCTGAGCCCCTGTTTTTCATCAATACAAGGATGAAAGTGACATCCACCCAAATCTTTCATTGTAAAACTCAGAAGAAAAAATGTATGTAAAGCACCTGGCAAGTATCAAGAACTAGCAGGCAATCAATAAATTGTTAACTTTTACTGTTTTCTCAAAGTGATTGTTTATATACACACATATGTACCTACAGTTAAACGTGTGAAAAACATTGAGGCCAAAGTAAACTTTCAAAGAAGAAAAAGAAAGAAGAAAATTTTCCAGGGAGAGTTTAGGAAGGTGTTTATATTAAAGAGTATGACGTTTTGCTCTAAAAATCCCTAGAATTTTACCCTTGCCCACTGGATGCTGGTCTTTCTCTCTTCTTTCTTCCTTTTCTAAGCTGCCCTCTTACTGCTTCTAAATCTCTCAGAATCTTCTTTCTCACTTCTGAATTTAGACTGTTGTTCTTCAGCTGTTTCCTTTTTTACAGTTTTGCTGAGGTATAATTGATATACAATAAAATGTACATATTTAAAGAGTGTACATTTTGATGTTTTCAGACATGTATATATCCACATTATCACAATCAAGATAATGAACATATCCCTAAACCCAATTTTATGTATTGGAATTTAACTGAGATCCTGATTTTTTCAAATTAACATCCCTCTACCAACAAACACATACTTTGGCTCCAGGTAGCCAATAAATAAAAATAACCAATTTGAGGGTCATAAACACATATATTTAAAATTTTAAATCATTTTTATTATACAATTGTATTAGTTTCCTAGGGCAGCTGTAACAAAGTACCACAAACTGGGTGGCTCAAAACAACAGAAATTTATTATCTCACAGTCTGGAGGCTAGAAGTCCAAAATTAAGTTGTTAGCAGGGCCTTACTGCCTCTGAAATCTACAGGGAAGAATCCTTCTTTTTACCTAACTTCTGGTGGTAGCCCTCAATCCTTGGTATTCCTTGGCTTGCAGTTGCATCACTCCAATCTCTTTCCATCTCATCATGTGGCTTTCTTCCCACTGTTTCTGTCTTGTCTTCTTATAATTAATCATATTGGGTTAAGACCCACCCTAATGACCTCATCTTAACTTGATTATATCTGACCTCATCTTAACTTGATTATATCTGCAGAGACCCTGTTTCATATAAGGTCACAATCATGGGTACTGAGGTTAAGACTTCAACATCTTTTGGAGCGGGGGGAATATAATTTAACCCATAACAGGTGGTCAGAGGCTTCTAGCAAATATTCCCCTTAAGAGAATCAGCCATGGCATGTGGGAGGGCAGGCAATGGAACCCACTGGGCCTTCAGAGGGATGGAATGTCTCTTCTATCTTTCTATCTCCTATCTTTACAAATAAGGTCATATTCTCAGGTACTTGGAGGTTAGGATTTCAGCATGTCTTTTGTGGGGATGCAGTTCAACTCATAACAGTACTATTTCAAACATACATGTAGTATGTACTTCCACCCAGCTTTATTATTTCTTACCATTGTGTCATATTTGTCCCAGAGCTTGTTTTTTAATAAATAAAAGATTATAGCCAAGGTGAGGCTCTTTCTCAGTATCCCTCCATGTTCCCATCCACATTCTTCCCTTGACAGAAGTAACCACTCTCATGAAATTGGTGATCTTTCATTCCTCGTGCAGGTCTTTATACATTTATGACATTTGTATGTATCCTTAAACATATCTTCAACTGTTTTACAGGTTTAAAACTTTTAAAATAAATTGTATACTATGCAGGTTTTGCAATTTGCTTTTTCCCCTGAATATTATTGATATTTACCCATGTTGAAACACTTAGTTCCTTTATTCTAACTGCTATATAGTATTTCATTGTGTGTGTGTGTGTGTGTGTGTGTGTGTGTCAGGTTACCTATTTTTTTTGTTGATAGACATTTATCTTTTCTTTCCTAAATTTTGCTATTACAAAGAATACTTCAGTGTATGTTGTACCTCATGTATGTATGTATGAGAGTTTCTCACAAGTGGAGGTGGAGTTGCCTAGAAATTGGATTTCTAGCATAAATATTCATCTTTACTAGATTTTGGCAAGGTGTTCTCTGAAGGGTTACAGTAATCTATACTCATTAACAGTATATGAGTTCCTGTTTATCCCAGTTTATTGCTAACACTTGGTATTGTCACACCTAAACATTTTTGCAAATTTGGTATTTGAAAAGATACCACATTCCTGTTTTAATTAGCATTGTTTTTTTAAGGAATAAATTAAATTATATATTTATAAAGTGCTTGGCACTAGTAATCACTCAATAATTGTTACCTATCTCTTCCCTCCCTACTTCCACCAGAGTACATTTAATCTATGATAAAATTACTTTATTCTTTCTTTCTCCTAGACATTTTTAGTCTTTTTGCAAGTGAATCCGGGAGCTATGTTATACGGGAAGAAATGGAAAGAATGCTCCATGTGGTGGATGGTAAAGTCCCAGATACACTCAGGAAGTGTTTCTCAGAGGTATATTTAAAGATTTACATTTCATCCCTCCCTGTGGACAAAGTATTAACTCTTAGTTGTATAATGAATTTAGCTGTGATGAATAGATGTTTATGTGTAGCATATTCTTGACATTTTTCTATTTAATGGTTGATGCTTTAACGATTTGTGTGCTATGCTCAAAGGTGCATGACACTCACTACTGCTGTGTTTGTGAATCTGAAAATTCCCAATTCCCAATAAAGGCAACTGTCTATACTTAACAGTATAATGAAACATACTCCCCCACTGTCACACCAGCACACATACAGACACACACACACAGGTGATCCTGCAGAAACAGCATTGCTTAGGTTGTGGTGCTCACTGCTTTTCATCGTGAGCATGTAGATATATCATTCATTGGCCTTGAGCCATAGGTGACCTCTATGATCCATCAATGCCTATTTTATCACTTATTTTACTTAATTGATTTGCATAGTGAAATATTTGGGTTTTAAAAATTTGTCATTTTCCTGTTTTCATAAATAATATATTTTCATTGTAAAAAACTTTAACAACAGAAAATGTGTATCTTTAACAGAGAAAATTCTTTTATTTCTTTTCAGAGGTCTGCTAATATGGGAAAAGTCCCAAGAGATGGCAGAGTAAAGTCCTTTTACAAGTTTCTTTGCTGCAGCACTCAGTGCTGTATGATTTCTTATGGGTGGCTATTTGACCCACTTCCATTTCACTTTCACTGCTCTTGGTTTTATTCAGAGAGTTTTAATTCAATTTAGTTTAGTCACCTTCCTAACTATATAAGCATTGATTGTGGTTCTTTTTTTTTTTTAATATAAATTTATTTTATTTATTTATTTATTTTGGCTGTGTTGGGTCTTCGTTTCTGCGCGCGCGCTTTCTCTAGTTGCAGCGAGCGGGGGCTACTCTTCCTTGCAGTACGTGGGCTTCTCATTGTGGTGGCTTCTCTCATTGTGGACCACAGGCTCTAGGCACACGGGCTTCAGTAGTTGTGGCATGCAGGCTCAGTAGTTGTGGCTCACAGGCTCTAGAGCACAGGCTCAGTAGTTATGGCTCACGGGCTTAGTTGCTCTGCAGCATGTGGGATCTTCCCGGACCAGGGATTGAATCCATGTCCCCTGCATTGGCAGACGGATTCTCAACCACTGCGCCACCAGGGAAGCCCATGTGTGTGGTTCTTATATCTCTTTGGACTCTCTGGCTTTACCTTTAGCTTTTCATCACTCTGGCTTTAAGTTTCCTCTGTGTTGATAGCACCTGGAGATTTCCCTTTCTTGCTTTTGAGCTCGGCTAAGCAGTTTTTGGTAGTAGTTATGGTGTTAACATTTTACTAAACATTTCTGTGTGTTCAGTGCAGAAGGATTGTCGTCCTGCATGTTTGGTTCTTACTTATTGACTGGAAGTTGCTGTGATGGTATTTCAGTACCTCAAGACAAACTAGATCATTTTTTTTCCCCCTAATAAAATTTGCTGACCAGAAAAAAAAAAAACTGATCTCATCTTTACAGTCCTGATTACTTGAATTTTTCACAGAGATGTTAAGTGCTTTGCTCATTTCTGGGGAGAATTATATATATATATATATATATATATATATATATATATATATATATATATATATATATGTATGTATGTATGTATGTATGTATATTTTTAATATTTATTTGTTTATTTTGCCATGTTGGGTCTTAGTTGCGGCATGCGGGATCTTTTGTTGAGGCATGCAGGCTTCTCTCTAGTTGTGGTGTGAGGGTTTTCTCCCTCTAGTTGTGGCATGCAGGCTCCAGGGCACGTGGGCTCTGTAATTTGTGGCACACGGCCTCTAGATGAGACGCGCAGCCTTAGTTGCCCCGCGGCATGTGGGGTCTTAGTTCCCTGATCAAGGATTGAACGGGCATCCCCTGCATTGGAAGGTGGATTCTTTACCACTGGATACCAGGGAAGTTCCTATTTTTTTTCATTTTAATAAGGTTTTTGCAGACATTGCCATTTTATAGATGGGGATTAAATGTGGTTAGCCACCCAGTTCTCTTATAATTTAGGCACAATAGCAGGTACATATATTAGATAATAATTAGTGCTATAGGGAAAAATAAAGTAGACTACAGGGCATAGGTGGTGATGGGGAGGAGGTAGCCAAGTGTAGGTATTTTGTATAGTATAGTTAGGAGAGGCTTATCAGATAAAGTGACATTTGAACAAAGAATTTTAAGGAAGTGAGAGAGAAAACCCACGCGGATATCTAGGGAAAGCATTTTTCATGAAGAGAATATAGCAAAAGCCCTCAGGGGAAGTGTGCTTGACTTGTTCAAGGAACAAGAAGAGGTCAATTTAGCTGGAATGGAATGAGCAAGGGAATAGTAGGAAATGAAGCTACAGAGGTTGGGGGAGGGGGTGGGATGGGGTAGGGAGATTACACATGGCCCTGTAGGACAGTGTGAGCTCTTCAGCTTTCACCCTGAGTGAGATAGAACTCTCTAGAGGTATTTGAGCAGGAAAATATATGAGTTTTTGTTGCTGTTGTTTAATTACTTTTTTTTTTTTGGCTGCGTTGGGTCTTCGTTGCTGTGCGCGGGCTTTCTCTAGTTGCAGCGAGCAAAGGCTACTCTTCCTTGCGATGCATGGGCTTCTGATTGTGGTGGCTTCTCTTGTTGCGGAGCACAGGCTCTAGGGCGCACAGGCTTCAGTAGTTGTGGCTCGCGGACTCTAGAACACAGGCTCAGTAGTTGTGAAACATGCACTTAGTTGCTCCACAGCATGTGGGATCTTCCTGGACCAGGGCTCAAACCCGTGTCCCCTGAATTGGCAGGTGGATTCTTAACCACTGCACCACAAGGGAAGTCCTAATTACATTTTAAACGTCATCATTTTGGCTCTTACGTAGAGAGTACACTGAACAGAGTCTGATTAAGGTATCTGAATAATCCAGGGAAGAGGTCATGGTGTAACAGTGAGGTGATGAGACTTTTCAGATTCTGCATTTATTTTGAAGGTGGAGTTGACAGGACCATTTCTTGTATTGATGATGGGCTGTGAGTGAAAGAGAAAAGGATGATTAAGGTGTTTCGCTTGGTTTAGTAAATGAATGGAGTTGCCATTAACTGAGATGGTTAACGCTATAGGAGAGGGAAGTTGGAGGTTTCAAAAGCAAGAGAAGTTTAAGACATAATTAGAGAATCATATTAGACATTCGGGTGGAGTGGTAACTGTGCTTTTTGACATATAAGTTGGAGTTCAGAGGAAAGGATTTGTTGGCTTATAGATGTGGATGAGGTCATCTAGGAGTGAATTAAGATAGAAAACGGATTGGAAGACTGAGTCCTGTACTCTGACGTATGGCGAGATGATGAAGAATCAAAACAGGAGCCTAAGGAATAGCCTGTGAGGAGGAACGAAAGAGAATGGTGTCCTAGAAGCCAAGAGATAAAAATGTTTCAGGAGGAAGGAGTATTTAACTACGTCAAATAAGCCGAAAGATCAAGTGAGTTGTCCTTTGATCACTGAGAAGTGATCATTAGATTTGACAACATGAAGTGTAGGTGATTGGTGTAGGTCCTGTGGAGTTAAAAAATCACTGGAGTTAGGATACTAGAAGGAGTGTGCTCATAAGAGGAAATTGTGACAGGGAGAGTGGAATGCTTAAAATTGCATTTATTGGAAAGGGAATGGATTTATAATAAAAATATCAATATAAGACTATGGTAATAAATGGTTGGGTTAGTCTTGTATGAAGGACAAGACCTATGGAAGAGGGAGTATCAAAGAAATGAGAGGCCTAGGTTTTGGGATACTCGTGTATAGCTGTTTAAATCATTAGGTACTTAAGGTTGATTTTAAAAAAACAAGACTGTAAATGGGCTAATTTTACCTAATTCAACTATTTGATGTATTTATCTGCTGTAATTTCTGAGTAATGTGTGTGATGTGATCCAGACCCTTGCTTTTCAAGTTACCATGTTTCAGTAACTTGAAATGAAGGAAATCCACATAGGAGTTATATTGGTTTATTCTTACTGAATTTTTTTGGTTGTTGATTTTCAAGGTGGAAATTCGTATTTTACATTGTTCTTCAAAGATGTATCAGTTTCAGAAGTCTGTTTATTTTTATTTATTATTTTTTTTTGCGGTACGCGGGCCTCTCACTGTTGTGGCCTCTCCCGTTGTGGAGCACAGGCTCCGGATGTGCAGGCTCAGCGGCCACGGCTCATGGGCCTAGCCGCTCCGCAGCATGTGGGATCTTCCCGGACCGGGGCACGAACCCGTGTCCCCTGCATCGGCAGGCGGACTCTCAACGACTGCGCCACCAGGGAAGCCCAAGTCTGTTTATTTTTGGTTGCCTTTTATAGTACTGGAAAATTTTTTTTCTAGACTGCTGTTATGACAGTTTATAAAAGGAGACTTTCCCTTTACTTCCCTTATTTAGAGCCATGATTCAAAAACATAAAAAGTCAGGTTTGGCAGATGGAATTTTGGTGCTACCAGTTATATGGAGTGATCCCAATGGGCAAGTGGATTTCAGAGATTGCTTTATATTTCACTAAGTCGGCCAGGCAGTGAAGTGTATAGTTTAGGCACAGAGACTTTGGAGCCTTGACTACCTGGGTTCAATCCTATCTCTGAATGCATAACTTTTTGTAGCCTCAGTTTTCTCGTGTGTAAAATGGGGATAATAGTATCTCCTATAGAGGGTTGCTTGAGGATTAAATGAATATAAAAATACTTAGAATGGTGCTTAGGGCATTGTAAATACTCAATAAATATTACCTATATGTGAAGGTGGTAGAATAATAGGCAGCTTCTTTCTTTCTTAGTGGTACATGAAGGTGCATCTTATAACAACATCTTAGCTTCACTGAAACCATTGAAACTACCACGTTCAACTGAATCTAAGATGCCATCGATTAATAAGATGCGCTTTTATGTATTATAAAGAACAAAAAACCTGCGAGTTACAATTGAAGGGTATTATTGATTTTAAGACTTTTCCCAATGTCAGAGATGTTAACTTGTAAAAATTAGTAGACTACAGGGCATAGGTGGTGACCTTGCATCAGCTTGTAGGGTTTATACTGCAAACCCTCTTTCTAGACTAAATGTGGGGTAGAGAAAGAATATGGCTATGATTCTCTAAACATGTTGGCAATGTCCTCACATCCCTGCAGCAAGTCTGAATGCCATATTCTTCCATGTAGAAAAACAAGACTTCCAATGTTGTCTTGGTCGCTTGGATTGCACTGTTAAGTGTTCTGAAACCATGAGGCTTAAGCATGTTGCTATACTTAATAGGATGCTACTAATAATATAGAAATTATTTCTACCATAACTCTTTTAGGTTCTAAGTTATTTGTATCCCTTAATATCTCCATCAGGATTAGAGCTGCTAGGCTCCTGAGTGTCATTCTTCATTGTATTTCTATGTGGGTTGCTTCTGCCTTTTTTCTCATAGAAACATCTGGCCCTCCCTCTACCTGGGTCTTCTTGTCTTCCAGTCAAAGAGATTGACTTACACAGCCATATGATGTTCTTTCTCAGCCTGGATACTTTTTTTCTCCAGAAATTTAGCAAGACAAATACCTGGAAAGAAAGCAAAGAAATAGAAATCTCCTTGCTTCTTTTTGTATTCTAGTTGACTTGTGAATACATGTTTTCAGTGATGTCTTTTGGAGGAGGACTCCTGGATAGATTTTAATTCGCCAATGAAATTTAAAAGAGTATTTAAATTCCATACATATTTAATTAAAATATGCTAATTCCGACCAATTGAAGTACTGAAGAAGAGGGATGAAGCAAGTGAAAAGTTGGTTTTATTAAATATTGAAAGAAATTCAGTTTACTGATTTCAGGATATACCTTAGCAAATAAAATGTGACTTATTAGTAGAAATGCACTGCTTTAATGAATTGATGAAATAATTTGCATATAGATTTTATGCAAATGAAAGTTCTGAAGTACAATTATATTTGAAAATTTTTATTTCCAGGTATATAGCCTATAGTGATATTTAGATAATTCTTCCTTTATAGATAGTAGAAGGGTAAATGTCAATTAAATGCAAATTTTCAAGTTGTGTAAGTTCCAAGTAGGTACCTTAAAATTTGACTAAACCTATGTTTTCTTGTTTTAATTTTAGGGCGAAAAGGTAAACTATGAAAAGTTTAGAAATTGGCTTCTTCTAAACAAAGATGCTTTTACCTTCTCTCGTTGGCTACTGTCTGGAGGTGTATATGTGACGCTCACTGATGATAGTGATACTCCCACTTTCTACCAAACTCTGGCTGGAGTCACACATTGTAAGTAGTGGCATTTCATTGTGTTCTGTTCACTTTTTAATACAATTGCCTGGTAATACGAGAATATGAGAATATGCCTTTTATCGGTGGGTTTTTTCTTCCAAAGTATAGTAAAATGGAATACTGGAGGCTTGAGTACATAGCTGAAAAGGAAAACTCTCTTTTTTGTCTACTCACTGAATACTTTTGTACTCCAAATGTGTGGTGTGTTTTTTTTTTCCCCCACACCAAGCAATTCTCCAGTGCTCTATGGATACCAACTGGGTGTCCTGCATCTCAGTTCAGTCTGACACTGTCTACCTGGGGTTAGCACAGACCCCACAGTTTTAGGGCTCGGTCTCGAAAGACTGCCCCTCTGCTCCCCACTTCAGACGCCAAGTCCAGATTGTGACCTGTGCTTCTGACCAACCACCCATAAATGAGACTTCCCATGACCCCCTCCTTGGGTTTGGTAATTTACTAGAACAGTTCACAGAACTTCAGGAAACAGTTACATTTACTGATTCATTATATAATAAAGGATATGTTGAAGGATACAGATGAACAGATACATAGGGCAGGATCTGGAAGGGCCCCAAACACAGGAACTTCTGTCCCTGTGGAGCTGGGATGCCCCAATTCTTCTGGCATGTAGATGTGTTTACCAGTCTAGAAGCTCTCCAGACCCTGTGCTTTGGGGATTTTTGTGCAGGCTTATTACATAAGTATGCCTGATTATTAACTACATTTCTAGTTCATCTTCCCTCTCCAGAGAATGGGGAATGGGGCTGAAAGTTCCGAGTTTCTAATTATGGCTTGGTCTTTCTAGTGACCAGCCCCTTTCTAAGAGCTTACCAAAAGTCATCTCAGACATTAAAACAAAAGATTCCTATCACCCAGAAAATTGTGAAGAATTTAGGAGCTCTGTGTCAGAGATTCCTATCACTCAGGAAATTACAGGAATTTGGTCAAAGAGCAAATATTAGCAGGAACCAGGCTCAATATTACTATTTCACAGTAACCCTCTACTAATTGTCCTTAACCAAGCTGTATTAGTTTCCTAGGGCAGCTGTAACAAATTACCACAATCTGTAAACTGAAAAAACAGAAATGTATTCTCTCACAGTTCTGGAAGCTAAAATCAAAGTGTTAACAGAGCCTTGTTGCTTCTGAAGGCCCTAGGGGAGAATCCTTCCTTGTCTCTCCCAGCTTCTGGTGACCCCAGGCTTTGCTTGGCTTGTAGCAGCGTAACTCCAGTCTCTGCCTCCGTCTTCCCATGGCCTTCTCTGTGTGTGTCTATGTCCTCTCCTCTTCTTTTAAGGATACCAGTCATTGGATTTAGGGCCCAGTCTATATTCAGGATGATTTTAACTCAAGGGCCTTAATTCATTACATCAGCAAAGACCCTATTTCCAATAAGGTCACATTCTGTGATTGCAGGTGATAATGAATTTTTGAGGGACAGTATTTAGTCTTCCACAACACAGGCCTAAGTGTTAACTTCTACTGTTCTTCTTTCCTGTGGTTACAGAATTGTAACTACACTGGGCTTTTGCTTATGCTACTCCTTAACACTAGAATGAATGCCTTTCCCTTTTATTCTTCCTATAAACCTTAGTCATCTTTGAAGACTTAAATCACATGCTGCTTGGTTTTCATAAAACATTTTCTTGCCTTCCTGTGAGAAATCATCTCTCCTTCCTCTGAACTCTCATAACACCATTTTTGTACCCTTCTTGAATGAACTTATCACTTTTGTCCTTGTATTATAATTATTTATAGCATTCCATTTATTTGTACATGTCATCTCTCTTAAATCATAGAGAGTCTGCATTATTTTTTTATTCACCCTGTGTCAAGCCTTAAATAAGTATTTGTTGACTGAGTAGAGGACCTTGGGTATCAAGTGCTATTTGTATCTATTTGTTCATATAATTTATGAGTTGGCTACTAGTTATACACCAGCTACTTTCCCTCTCATTTTCATTCCATTGTCACCAGAAGTTCTGACAGATAAATTCTGGCATGAATAGGCAATGAATTTGATGTTCCTACTTTTCAATGCCCCCGCCTTTATTTTTGATAGGAAAGCCTTTTAAAAAAAAATTGTTTTGTATAAAAAATTAGGGAATCTTTTTATACTTACTTTAAGCTCTATCTAACTTACATTAATATTTAAGTTGTCAGTCATGTGGATATTCTGGTGAACTCTTGCTTTCGTTTGTGATGGTATGGTAAATTATTTTTCTATTATTATTGGCTAAAGGTGTGATTACTTTCCTTGAATGACTTATGTTACAGAAAAAATTATTCTGACATTTGTTAAAATGGTAAACAAGACTTTATTCAAGACTTTTGCAGTAGCATATTGCAATAGGGGAGAGAGATTGGTCTTACCTCCACATATTACAAGGACAAGTAATTTTTAGCCAAGGAGCAAGGTGAGGGGGTCAGTGGAGAGAAAATTACTAAGAGGAATCATCAAGGGTAGGGGAATTCTTGCTAAAAGTAGGCTGAAGACTTATTCACTAAATATGGGGTATGAGGAACTTGATCAGATATCATGAATAGGGGGATGATTTAGCAGGATTCTTTGCTAAGATTCAGCTGGGCAGGGCTTCCCTGGTGGTGCAGTGGTTAAGAGTCTGCCTGCCAATGCAGGGGACACGGGTTTGAGCCCTGGTCCGGGAGGCTCCCACGTGCCACGGAGCAACTAAGCCCATGCGCCACAACTACTGAGCCTGCGTTCTAGAGCCTAGGAGCTACAACTACTGAGTCTGTGCACCACAGCTACTGAAGCCCACGTGCCCTAGAGCCCGTGCTCTGCAACAGGAGAAGCCACTACAATGAGAAGCCTGCGCACCTCAGCAAAGAGTGGCCCCTGCTCGCTGCAACTAGAGAAAGCTCACACGCAGCAACGAAGACCCAACGCAGCCAAAAATAAATAAATAAATAAATAAAATTTATGGGGAAAAAAAAAAGATTCAGCTGGGCAGGCCAAAGACAGGATATGGAGGCCAACTTCCAGGCCTAGTAGAAAAGAGGGCTCAAAGGAGTAGGACTAAAGTTTGGTCAAGGAGAGAGTCTTTGTCAGTTGCTTAAAGTTAAATTAGTTCTGACATACTTTGCAAATGCAAATGCAAATGCTGCTTATTGCTTGTTTTTGAAAGCACCGTATTAAAGATTACAGATTTATTTAAATTTAATGAGTCAAAATAATGATCAAAATGTTAAAAATATTATCCCATTATATGGCTCCATTTTAATTTGAAAATGATCTTTTCTATTTATTTTTTTATCAAGTGGGAAGATTTTTGGATTTTTAATGGTATCTAAAAGTACAATGCCTTTGCCTTGTTAAAAAATATTTTATCTTGGGATTCCCTGGTGGCGCAGTGGTTGAGAGTCTGCCTGCCGATGCAGGGGACACAGGTTCGTGCCCCGGTCCGGGAAGATCCCACATGCCGCGGAGTGGCTAGGCCCGTGAGCCATGGCCGCTGAGCCTGCGCGTCCGGAGCCTGTGCTCTGCAACAGGAGAGGCCACAACAGTGAGAGGCCCGTGTACCGCCAAAAAAAAAAAAATATATATATATATGTATATGTATATATATATATATATACACATATATATATATATATTATCTTGAATTATTTAAAATATTAATGCAAATGCATTGTTTCACCTGAAATAATGACCTAATTTCTAAACTGAAAGGTTTCTTCTTAGGGTCATTCATTGTACCTGCTAATATCTCTGCAGCATTTTAGCACTATTGACCATTCAGTTTTCTTGAAATTCTCTTCTCCTTTGGTTTTGAAACATTGTAGTTTTCTAGCTTTTTATTATTTCTTTTGACTTTTCTTTACTGCTATCATTTTTCTGTTTACTTTTTGAGTGTAAGTTATTTCTCGTGGATCAGCCTTTAGCCCTATTAAATGGCATACATGCTTTGCTTCATTACAGCCTTTTTTTTTTTTCTTTTGCTTATCTTTGCAGGTGATACCTAGATGAAGTTTTCTGATCTTGAGGTATCTCTCAAACTGCATATTCATTTTAATAAATGCCTCCTGGTTATATATTCTAACATCTTACTCTCATGTCTAAAACCAAATTTATCTTTCCTCACTTCAGTCCATCTATAGGTAAAAAAGCAAACAGCCTATTCTTCCTCCTCTCTTTTCTTTTTTTTTCTTTTTCTTTTTAAATTGAACTATAGTTGCTGTACAATATAATGTAAATTATGGGTGTATAATATAGTGATTCACAATTTTTAAAGGTTATACTCCATTTATAGTTATTTAAAATATTGGCTATATTCCGTGTTGTACAATATACCCTTGTAGCTTATTTTATACTTAATAGTTTGTACCTCTTTATTCTCCTACCTCTATATTGCCCCTCCCCCCTTCCCTCTTCTTACTGGTAACCACTAGTTTGTTCTCTATGTCATCTGTGAGTCCACTTTTTTTGTTGTTGTTATATTCACTAGTTTGTTGTATTTTTTAGATTCCATGCCTCCTGTCTTTTCCATCTTGGTTACTAGCATCTGTAATTCTAGTAATCCAATTTGAGGTTACCTTTGACTTCTTTATCAAGCTTCATATTAGATCCTATCAATCTTTTTTTTTAATATATATAAATTTATTTATGGCTGTGTTGGGTCTTTGGTGCTGTGTGTAGGCTTTCTCTAGTTGCGGCGAGTGGGGGCTACTCTTTGTTGTGGTGCACGGGCTTCTCATTGCGGTGGCTTCTCTTGTTGCGGAGCATGGGCTCTAGGTGTGCAGGCTTCAGTAGTTGTGGCACGTGGGCTCTAGAGCTCAGGCTCAGTAGTTGTGGTGCACAGGCTTAGTTGCTCTGAGGCATGTGGGATCTTCCCGGGCCAGGGCTCGAACCCATGTGTCTTGCATTGGCAGGCAGACTCTTAACCACTGCACCACCAGGGAAGCTCTAGATCCTAACAATCTTAACTCAGCCATATTTCTTACATCTTTCTTTGCTACTGTCATCATTGTAATAGCTT